AGAGAGCACAGTTCTGATCTGATGAATCTTTTTGGTATTTGAGGCACCTTTAAGCTAATCTAAAAGAAGTCAAGGTATGAAGGAGAAATTTGGTGCTATGACTGAACATATTGGTATTTCTGAGGTTTGTTTTCTCTAGATGAGTATCTTTTTATCAGCTTCCTTCATACTCTCATACTTTTGAATTGGAACTTTGCTAGGAAACAAACCTAGAAAGAGTCAGCCACTGGAGGTTAGTGGTTTTCAGTGAGAATAGTTGGGTCTAGCAAGAGCATTCTCGTAAATGTCAGACTTTTGCTTATTTTGCAAAGGACACTCATGCACATCTTTCTGTGGCCACTGCCCAGAATGACCAAGGATGTTTTTCAGTGCATTGGAGATACAGTCGACTGAAGATCAGTGTGGTGGTAGGTAGCCAGGTGAGTCCAAGACTGAATGATGAGGACTCTATAGAACTCCCAGGCAAGCACTGGCCAGAGTAAAACCATTCTTATTCTGATTAGAACCATCATTTAATTAGGAGAGAACAAGAATACTGTTGATGGATGATGTTTATCAACAACAGCCATATGACAGATGAAACAGCAAGTACAAGGTGAAAGTGGTGATCTGTGTGACAACTTTGAGCCTCTCCAAGAAGGGAGGACATGGCCAAAGCAACCAGTCACTAAGACTCCTGGAGTCTCAATGAACAATGTGGGGAGATACCTTAGGTATCTTGCCATACATGACCCAGGAGCAGAGATTTAGTGCATCGACTCCTGCCCTATCCCGACAGTCTGTAGAGCTTAGCCTGATACAAGCATCGAGTTAGAGGTTGGTAGGCTTATGCCAACATCACAGGCTCTTGTGAGAGAGGTGAAACATATCTCACCTGCAACCTTCAAGAGAACAGTGAAGCAAGACTTGGACCATTTCATCAGGCAAGTCAGTATTTGGAATGGTTAGAATAGCCATGGATACTGTGAAACACCTGAGTGAGATGTAACTTCGGGATTCAGACACAATCACTACTGAGCTTGATAATGCTTTAACCCACTGGAAAATCTACCTGCCCATCAAAATGAGTGCAAATATTGATGGAGGAGTCCCCTAACAGCACAGGTGCTTAAGCAGATGATCTGTGCTGGCTGCATATAAAAACCTACTGCAGCTCACAAAGATATCCTTGTGGACAAGGTGACACAGGAATTACCAAGCAAATCGGTGCAGAACCACTTGGGAGTAAGAAATAATTACTCGGTTAGACAGTAGCTGTCACAAAGATGTTTGAAGTATTAAACTCAAACAAATCAGAAGAATGGATAAAGTCCACAGCAGCAGTTGCCATGGCTGTGCCTAAGCTGGACCATTTTGCTCAAGTGTATATTTCATGTTGAGCTCGGGTTCCATCGAGGAAAACCCAATCACCAAAACACGTCTGCATTGCAGCATAGAAATACTGAACTTGTCATGATGCTTGTGTCACAACTAATGCTAGTGATGCCCCTAACTAGACATTGCTCTGGAAAGAAGAAACAAACCACATGCTTCATGTGTGGACAGCAGGGTCACTATTGGTTGATCAGCAATAGTAAGTAAAACATCCAGTTTTGCCTGACTGCATAGTAATTGTAAGAGTACTAGTAACTAGCTGTAGTTGATGTCACTTTCGTTCCAGAAAACTAACTGTGATCAAGCCTGGGTTGGACATCTTGATCTCTAGCATTAGTAAGCTGGTGAAGGAGCACAAATAAAACTCTCTATTCATTCTACTATACAAACACTTGTATTGATTGTATTCTTTGTTATAAAGATTGTGATTGTTTGCAAACTTGTGTCGAGTCTCTTTATTTTGTGTAAAGACTCAGTCGAACGTAGAGAGATACTTGATCTGTGATGCAATGTCTTATGACACCTATTTTTGTAGTTATTGCAGGCTACTCGGAGGGAAATCAGAAAAATACTATAATTACAATGCCTCTGTAGTATATCAGTAGCTATTTACATATTATGATTTCATAGGCAGTTTTAAATTTCTAGTCTATTTATTATTCAAAATACTAATTGTTACAACAATAGCTTCATTTGGCTCCATTTTATGAAGTGTCAAACTTTATACAATGAAACTGTTAGAAAATAATACCAACTCAATTTTTAGTTAGGTTGACCCTTATGACCGCATGAAGTCCTTATTAGTCCAATCTTTAGCTTCGTTTGCGAAGACTATTTCACATGTATGGTTATGATGTCTGATCAAAACAACAGTGATTGTAGAAAACATAAAAAGCATGTAAGTGTAACCTAATATTTTGTCAATTGAGGGGGAAAATAGCTTTTTCTAAATATCTAGTGTTTAAATAAGAAATTATTTTGATATTATTTAGAAGATTTAGGTATGGACATCATATATGTTATGAAAAATGGTGACACACAAAGATTAGAGGGTGGTAGAAGAAGAAAAAAAGTTTACAAATATATTCACCTTCGTGTACCAAAACTCGATGAGAAGATTGTTTCATGAAAATTTAAAATATATGAAATTTTAGTGTGTTTCAAATATACATATTGAATTAAATCTCTCTGAAGCTTCGGTATTTATTAACTACAATAAACATCATTATCAGTTTCTGTGACACCAAACATGCTCGCCTTTTCAGCCGTGGGGGGGGGGGGACGTTATAATATAACGGTCAATCCCACTCTTCGTTGGTAAAAGAGTTGGCGGTGGGTGGTGATGACTAACTGCCTTCCCTCTAGTCTTACACTGCTAAATTAAGGACGGCTAGTGCAGATAGCCCTCGTGTAGCTTTGCGCGAAAATTTAAAACAAACAAACAAACAAGAGTACTCGATATGAATACAACTACGTTAGCAAGAAATAAACACATTGTTCAAGAATGTAAAACACATACATAGGGATTATGCAAATTGTACAGAACATATACGAATGATTGTATTACAACACAAGTATCACATAATCATGAATAGTATCCTATAAATTGTTACAGAAGTGTATGTCAACACTTCGAAGTTATGCATATGCTCCTTTTTTATGCGTATAGATACATCGAATCTCAACATATAAGTCTGCAGGCCTTGCGTTATTTTTTATATGTTATTAATCCAAGATTTGTGGTTTCCACTATTTATAATTTTGTTTTTTCAGAGCTGTAAATGTATTATGTTTAATATATGGTATCTGATGACATATTAAACAAGCCTGCGAATTTAAACTTCGTAAAAGTTGTTTTAATTTTAATAACATATTTTTCATAATTCAGCTACGCAGATTTCGCAAATAATATTTATTTTTTTCTATAACTTAGGAATTTTTGACAAATCGGGAAGAAAAAATTCTAACTTAAATCAAATTATTATTCCGTTTACCACAATGAACATTTTGTATTATTACGTTTGTTAACAAAAATACAAACAAACTGAAGAAAAAGGAAGAACATTGATGTCCAACGAATATGCATCCTCATTCATCCAGATTTTTTTTAGTCTTAAAACTACGTGTTGTGGTATTTCTTTTATGTATTGCGTTATGTGAAAAATCTGAAGAAAAATTGATATCGTTTTCTGATTCAGCGTCCAGGAATTACTGTAGAACATATAAAAATATCAAGACATTAAAACCATCGCAGGCTTGTGTTATCGGAAATTGACACTTTATAAAATACAAGTCTATGGTGTCCTCTACTTGTCAGAATGTAAACTTTTGAAAATTATCTGCAGGATTAGTTCATCAAAAATTTTTCAGATGTAGATAATTCTTCTATGAGTTTTTCTGTTTAACATTTCAGTATAAAAATATTATGAAAATTTACACAAACATATCACTTCCTCGTTTTTCATTTTCTTTTTTTTTTTTAATTTCAGTCATAAGTATTATTTTTATTTAACGTATTATAAAATATTGCCACATCAAGGTGAAGTGTGTGTAACTGTGGGTAGACTTGGTTGGACTAATAGTGAGTCATCTTAACTCTTTGACTGTTAATTGGTGCATTGATATTCAATCCATATTTGCAGCCCCCCAATAGCACAGCGGCATGTCTGCGGAATAACAAACCGGGTTTTGATATCCCTGGTGGGCAGAGTACAGATAGCCCATTGTGTATCTTTGCGCTTAACTTCAAACAACAACCATATTTGCTGCCAAAATGCCCTTACTATTTGTTTATAGCGCTTTTGATTTCAAATCAGTAAACATGATTTTTCACAAAAAAATATCTCATTTGCAATTCAAATTTTATCAGAACTAAAAAATGTCAAGAGTTAATTCTGATTATTTTGAGGGGATATCTTAAGGATATTAATAAAGCAAAATTAATCTAAAAACTTAATTTGTCATAAAATGGTGAAAGGTGGCTGCAAAGTATTCATACAATTGTTTCTTTTATCGAAAATACTGTTATAAACTATACTTATAGTGTTGTAATTTGTTTAATTGAGATGTTAACTAGAGGATGCATGATGTTAAGAACAAAAACGTTATAGAAATATCTAGAACAAGTGTATATTATAAATACAATGTTTCGTGACACGTCAAATGGTTAGTTAAAATGTGCATTAATGAGAACAATGTTTTTACTCCTATCTTAGTATACCAAAAACAGTTCATCTGATTTGGCTAAGGAATAGGTAGAACAAAAAGAACGTACTAAAGTAAAGTTTATCGCAAGAACGTCGTTCCTTCATACATTCCTCTTATTGGAAAATTTTAATAATAATTAGGGTTTCGGAGTATATATTTTTACACATTACAGAGAAACGTCCCCCAAGAAACAATATTTTATTATCTACACAATATATAAGCAATGGAATAGAAGATACTGGTTTTTAAGAACTACAAATGTTACTAGATGGCACTGCGATACAATGTTTTAATATGTAACACAGTTTTCAAACTTGAATTATATTTATGATGCGCTATCCGCAATCTATCGTTTTGTAGAATTTTCAAATCTTAGATTGTATGACATTTTGAAAGAACTGTGAAAATTCTAACTGATAATGAAAAACTCGGCATTAAATTTTGGTTGAAAATTATATAAAAAACGATCAATGGAGTATGCTAGATTCATACACGTGTTTCCGGTTTATCATCGTGCCACCTTTGACATCAGTTGCCAGAGCAACGACCTCCTACTAAGTTCACCACCCTTAGTGGGGACAGATGGCAGTAGCATACATAAGGCTTTGTAGTAACCCCCTAACCACCCATTGACATTTATTCTTCATCATGGCGTGTACCGTAGCATTTCTCGTTTCTCTCTTTGTGGCAATGGTTACGCCTATTGAATCCAACCAAACATCAGAAACAGATCACAGGTTTGTGTTTTCTCTTCTGTGTAATAAATGTAAATCTTAAATTAATATTAACTTCAACATTTGTGAGATTTAGAAATGTATGTTTTTAGATATGGTTCATGTAACAGAAAAAAAAATATAGTTACTAAGTTAGGAAAGGAAATTTTTTATAAGCTTTTTGAAATTGATTATTATTATATATTCAGAAATTATTTAAATATTACAAGTTCATTATAGGACTTTTATATACCTCATTATCACTATCAGTAATTATGTTGTTAACCTGAAACATCTACAAAATGTGTAAAGTGTAGTAAATATCAGGTTAATATTGTTTTAGACCAGGTCTATCTGTTTGTTTATTCACTGGATACTTTTGTTTTATTTATGCGACAGTTTGCCTCATCTTGATGATAAGGATGACAAAAGTAATGAAGGAATGTGCCAAGTATACCGTAGTGCTACATGTTCAAAGTTCCTTGCGAACAAAACGGTTTTTGTGAGTTCAATTCACAGTCAGGGAATAATGGAAGAAAAATTAGCAGCAGCGTTTTCAGTGATTGCTTCTTCACAAGATGTTTCTTTAGAGTGTCACAAGTATGCTATTCCTTCACTTTGCTACTATGCTTTTCCACCATGTGTTGAGAACTCGTCTGTTTCTAAGCCACGTCAGGTTTGTCGAGATGAATGTGAGGTGCTAGAAAACAGCATTTGTCGACTAGAGTATTCTATTGCCAAACGCCATCCACTGATTGGCCAAAAGAAGATTCTCCCAGCATGTGAGGACCTGCCTCCATTTGGTTCTGAAGCAAGCCAAACTTGTTTGAGACTTGGAGTTCCTAATTCCATTCAAAAAAATGAACGTAAGTATATATATACATATACTCAACTTAATTATCAATATAAGTTGTAGCCTCATTTTTATATAAATTTGGTTCACCAAAAGGATAATTTTATTGACATTTTCCTATGTAATGATCAGTGATTCCTATAAAGGTGAACGCCTAATAAGATATTCTTTGTTATATAAATAACAATGTGTTCTGTAATATTGTACCTATGTTTTTAAATTCTGGTGTTATAATTAAAAAACACAGATACAGTAGGATGACGAAGTTCTGAAGTATTAAAAGTTCACTACATGGAACTTTCATATCTTAAATGCTTTTACCAATTGTATATTTCGGAGAAAGTTGAGAGTATCCTTTTCACATTTATGAAGACTTTTTTTTTTTCCTTATAAATTTTTATTTTTCTGTAAGATCAATTAAAGTCATTTTGTTGGCTTGGGCTAAACACTATTGAAACATCATATTTGTTGCATGAGAAAAAGTTTTTTATTTGATTTGTAGCAGGGCAAAAAAATTTAGTAATTTCAGCACACTGTTCAATTTGTAGAATCTTATAAAGAATGCTTTGATCACATCACTGTGATGTAACATTTTTCATAGTCATTCATTAGTAAAAATTATGTGATCATTCCCATGACTGAATGAGCTCTAAAATTTCTGAAATTTATAATTTTATTTTATAATTAATGATATATAATGACATATCCTTAAGTTTAAGAGAGATCAACTAACATCTGATAATCAGGATAGCTGTTCTTGTAAGCAGTGTCAATTGTAGTAATTTGTTATTGAGAATTAAGTTTAAGTTATACATTATTGGACATCAAGGCATAGCTTGCATACAAATTGACCAATATAGTATACCAGATGTTCAAAATGTGCAATTCTACCAAAAACTTCCATTTGAACTTTGAATATATATATATTTTTTTGGTCTCTGGAACTGTAACTTGTTTAAAACATGTAAGTGAAGAATACATCTAAATGTTAAATGTAGAATAATTTTTAAAAATTGCAGGGATCAATGCTTTGAATTTGAGTAAAGTGTTTACAAAGATGAATCACAAAATGTGGCACCTTGTTAGTAATTCCCTAGATCTGTTGGTTTTGAAGTTAACAGGTGTATAATTAAATAATGATTTAATATGCATAATTTCTAATTATTACATTAAGATTAAGCTTATTTATTCCAAAAAAGGAAAGAATTTTAAGACACCAGGGTGTTAAGAACATTTTTAAATTGTGTATGTTTGTTGCAGATTTAGTAACTTCTGATCTGAATAAGTTATCTTTCTAGAGCAAAACTAAAAATCAACCAGTTAATCAATATAGCTAATTAAATGTACTTTTCCTACATTTTTAACTGAGAGAGATTAAAATGCATCATTTCATTAGTTGGGTACCACTGCTGCTAATGATATTTTTGGCTGTAAACCCAATAATATCTTGCATGGTTGGTGAACCCAGGAGGTTTAGGTTATTAAATACATATATTAAGAAAACAATGCAAAACAATCTGTAATTAAACTATATAATATTAAACAATAAAATGTACAAAGTAATAAAATTATATAAACAGTCTAATCAATACTGTTGATGAAAGTAACAATAAAGAAATATTATAGTATACTTTTGAACACAGAAACACTAGCTGTTGGCTTGAAGTTGAACTACTGTCACAGAATTAGTTTTCTTTGAAAAATATAACATCAGTATAACATGCTGAATTTTTCTAAAATCTCCCTAATGTATCTTTCGATCAAAGAAAACCCATAAACAACCTTTATGGTAACTTTAGAGTGACATCTGTGACAAATTTACATTGACACATGTTCATGCTTACACAGTGTCGAGTGTAGATTGAAAGAATACCTGAATTTTCTATGAAAATATAACAGTGTTAAATGTAATACAAAGTAAACAATTCTTCAAACTTACAATGAAGTGCACCTAACGCTACTACTCTCACTTTAACTTCTGTCACTTAACAAACACACAAAGCAGGCAACAAGAAGTAGTAAAGAATGTTAAATCCTCTCTTTGAGATAAAATGGAAACATTAAAAGCCTCTAGAGAGTTCAATAATAATAATGACAGAAATAAATATTACATCTCCCATTAATATAGAAAAGACAGTAATTAGCAAATATTAGTGCAACTAAACCTAATGATGTAATGACATACTATATACTGAATTGTTATATAACCGATATTAATTATATATAATAAGAGCTTAAGTTAATGGGGGATAAAACAGTGGTGGTCAATATACTAAAACTGTTCATTCTTAACTAAAAAATTTCCAAAGGAATTAAAATCTAGACAAGAAAGTTTTAAAATGGCTTATTACCAGCTTTGACATTCCACAAAAAGTTTAATTACAGTTATTACATACTTGTATTTTCAACATTCTGCAAGGACAAAGCTTTGGACACAAGTTTTACACCTTAAATTATGAAGGTAAATCCAGTAGTGACCCACAATGTTGGACATAAGAGTTTCTAGATATTTTGTTTTCCTAACAAGTGTATTTTTCAGCTACTTAATATTAGATGATTTGTTTAGGGCAGATAGTAATTAGTTGTTTTGATGTAATATTATTGTAGAATTAGATAAAAGTATGACTTTTGTTCCCAGTAGCTTTATGCTACATCAAAGATACATCACCCAAAGTTATTGTTTTTCTTTCAGAGCAGACCTGTTATGTGGGAACAGGAGAAGACTACAGAGGGGTAATGTCTCACACCATATCTGGTCACGAGTGTCAACACTGGAGTCATCAGATCTTCTACCATACCTCTGACTACCCGGAACTGATTGGTGGTCACAACTTCTGCCGTAACCCAGGTGGAATGGAGAGCCAGCCGTGGTGTTTTGTTGCAGACCAACAGGTTCGAAAGGAGATGTGTGAAATACCCAAATGTGGTGAGTAATGAATTTATGTTGTAGTGTACTTTTTATTTTAAAAAAGTGCAGGTGAGTTGCTAGATCCTGGAAAGTTTTTTTTAACTATTATATGAAAAAGGATCATGAGCTTGATAATTAAGATAATAATTGTTGTCGGTGAGGACTTTGTAAACATTTTATAGTGCTATACATTTGACTTGCATTGAGTATCAGTCTTATGTGCTCTGACTTTCAGTAACAGGAAAAACCAAGTGAAGATAAAATCCTTTGATAACTATGTATTTAAATCACATAGGGACTTATGAAAATACTGCCATAACAAGTTCAGTTCTGAAATTTCATGTTTTTAATTGTATAGATATATCAAATTATGAGATTTTAAAAATGTAATCCAAATATGCACAAAGTTAAAACATAGAGAAATCAAAATAAATATCAAAAACCAATAAACTCATAGTGGTGTATAATTGTGTACTAGTATTCTAAAAGTGGAAGATATTTCATTTCTTCAATTATACATAACACTGTCATTAAGAATCTGCTTGTATAACAATAAATGAACAAAATTGAAATCATTATAGGGCCAGGTTAAGGTGCTTGAACCTATAATGTCCTGAACCTAACTACACATTCACTTTATGCAGCCAATTATGAGAAGTAGTTGTTCAGTAATAAAATAAAAAAAAAGCGAATAACCCAATAATATGTAAACCTAAAGATTTCAGAATAAAAATAGCAAAGAAATAATATTCAAGATATGAAAAGTAAATCAAACAAATTAAATAAATAAAAAAGGTTTACATTTCCCAACAATACATAGTCAAAACATTCCATGTTATGGTATTAACTGAAAAACTCAAATTTAATGATTATAGTGAGAACACTGTAATCAAAGTCTACAGGTTATTTTTCAATAAATATAACATTGTACTCAATAAATGTTTCTAATTCTATTCTAAAAGATATCTTCTCATGCAAAGACAGTTTTTCCCAAATTTGAACTTCTTGACCTATCACCTTAACTGACACTGTCCACATTCAAGAAAAGTTTGGATATGTTATCACGTAACTCTGTCTCCCATTCTGTTATTCATTTTCAGTTAATTTTTACAATTCTATAGTCTTAAGAACAGGTATGATCTTATTATTTTGTGTTAATTTTTAATTTTACTTTCTAATGCAAGTAAAATGGGAAAGACCAACTTCTCGGTTACTGAAAAATACTTCAGTCTACCCGTACTTGCTGAAGCTTTTCTTAAATCTATGGTGTTTTAATAAATTTTTCTTCCCATTCATAGTTACATGGCGGTGCCCTTTTCTTTGGCATCTTTCTTGTCACTTTGTATTCAAGGAAGGAGGATGAGCTGCTTTTGATTGTATGTAGTTGGAGAGTATAATTCCTCACATTTGTTTTTTTACTTTACTTTGTTTTATTTACCTTTTTATCTTGTATATTATGTCTTTGCTATTTTTATTATGAAATCTTTGGGTTTACATGTTTTCTTCTTTGATTTTATAACGGGGCAACTACTTTTCCATAATTGGCTGCAGACATTGAATATATAATTAGGTTCAAAACATTATAGGTTAAAGTACCTGAACCTGACCCTCTAATAATTCTAATTTTGATCATTTGTTGTCACAAAACAGATTCTCACCCATGTTGATGTATAATTGAAGAAATGGATTACCTTCATCAGTTTTTGATAGCACTCGGTTATACACCATTTATAGATTTTTGGCTTTTATTTTTATATCTGTGTGTATTTGGATTGCATTTTCAGATTTGATGTTTTCACCTCATTGTTTTATGGTTGCTGTCTACTTTCTCTTATACATGATGATGTAAAGTTCTTATTGTTTATGTTTATTCTTACTATATATTTATTTCAGTCACGTATTAAGTACAAAAATCATCTTAAAAAGTGCCATAGTTTCAAAGAAACAAGTGCAGTAAGATTGGGAAAATATATATTTGTCTTTATCCTCCATTTTTATGAAAATATATAAATAAAAGTTTGGGAGAATTTGCAGGATTTATGTATTACCTATATTAATAGGAATTATTTTAATAACCATTTAATTGACAAAACAGTCTGGTAATCTAATTCATGAGTTTAAAATAAAATTGTGTTTTTTCAAGATTATATGTAATAATTTAATGTTTTTCCAATAGTAGTGTGTATTCACTTCTGTAGATACTATATACATATTCTCCTTCTTGCATTTGACAAACCACATGTATTTTGACATCATTCACACGATGATAGTTACTGTTCACTTGAAATGAAAAAAGGTTTTGCATCTGCCAGAAGCCATTTCATCTCTAAAGTATGAAGACGAGTTTCTTTTTTATTTACATTTTTGAGGAATTGGTTCTAACCTATACAACAGAGGCACTCTCAGTCTACAATAGATATACACAATTCATCACAGAGGTTACTTCCAAGCAAATGTCCACCCTTCCATCATAGATACAGAGTTCACGTAATGCACAATAATGACAAGGATGTTAAGGAATGAGAGGCACACAATTTACATGATCAGGTGGAGGTGATGCATTACCAAGACTCTTTCTTCATTTGCTCTAATAGGAAACAGCAATGTTCAACATCATTTAAACAAAGATTGTTTATATTTCAGTTATGGATACATTCTAAGATTAGTCAATTGATATCTAAAACTTATAACACAGTGTTTAGGGATAACAAGGACATATTGATACATCTTGGTTGTTTCATCCTCTAAACTAAAATTATTTAAAAAAATAACTCTTAAAGCCAACCCTTATCATTCATATAGTTATCAAGCTTTCTCTTAAACTCAAATTTACTGCCTCTACAACATCTGAAGGCAACCCATTCTAGGGGCCAACCACCCTGTTAAAAAAATAAAATTGTCTTAGCTGAAGATGATTTCTACCTTGCAAGAATTTATGTTTATGTCCCCTCATCCTATTATTCCCACCATTAAGTATGAAAAAATATGATACATCAACACTATCAATTCCCTTTGGAATCTTAAACACCTCAATCTGATCCCCCCTAACTCTTATTTTTTCAAGAGAAAACATTTCAGATCTTAATCTCTCCTCATATGACAAACCCTCCATTCTAGTAACCCTCCTCTGAACCCTTTCCAACAATTCAATGTCCTTCCTAAGGTAAGGAGCCCAAGACTGAACACAATACTCCAAATGTAGCCTATACAGAAAGATTAAAAAGAATATGAAAGTTGCTGACTGAAACTTAAAATGTTTGAATTTTTAGATGCTTATACCAAATAATTCAAACAGAAAAAGGCTAAATCTTATAAAATGTGCCATTAACAATTAGATTTGATAGTAGTGCTATTTCCACTAAAAAGGTGTTGAAATTTTGCATATCGTAACAAATACTGGTGATTTCAGTGACCTTTTTCTCCTAATCAAATTTAAAGCGGTATCCAGAAAACTATATGACATGTATAAAATACAACTGTGAACCATTAAGTACTATAGTATTTTTGTTTGGCCACAAGGAAATATAACTGTTTGTTTTTGAGAAGTATATTGTTTCATGTCTGTATATTATTTCTACAGTATTAGTTTGCAAGGAAACTTCTTTACTACTCTTTTTTTGTATTAACAGTAAATGTGGTGGTAAAAATGCTGAACTCTTAACTTTGTGTTAGGTTTACTTTAATGGAACAGCTTTTACAGAAGAAAATGTAAGTCTAAAAGAAAATTAATTTTAGCTGTTGTGAATGCTTGATTAATATTAACTTATTTTTTTTATTCTTTTTCATATTTACTTTTCAGTGGATTATCTGTGGTTGTACATTCTTCTTCCAAGCATTGTCTTAGTAGCACTTATTGGATTGTTGCTTGGAATTTGGTGTATGAGGCAAAGAACAAAGTCTAATCCATCAGTTATCAAGCCACCAAAGACTGTTGCTAGACCTTTGAGTCAGCAGGTGGAGATGAATGCATTGTTACCAAGAGCACAGACTAGAGCAACTGAATTTCCTATCTCTGCCATACAGTTTCTTCAAGATATAGGAGAAGGAGCATTTGGTAAAGTTTATCATGGAGAATTGATGGGTATACATGGAGCTGGGAGTGTTACACCTGTTGCTATCAAAACTTTGAAAGAAAATGCCACACTGAAAACTAGACAGGACTTCTTAAGAGAAGCAAACCTGATGTCAGATTTACACCATCCTAATATTGTATGCTTACTGGGGGTTTGCACAAGAGATGAACCTTTCTGTATGTTGTTTGAATTTATGTCCCAGGGAGATCTTCATGAGTATTTAATCTTGCATTCTCCTCAGCCAGATGTTGGATGCAATGAGGATGAAACATGTAATATTCTGGAATTATCAGACTTCCTTCATATTACACGGCAGATTGCAGGTGGAATGGAATATCTTGCTGAGAATCATTATGTTCACCGTGACCTGGCAGCTAGGAACTGTTTAGTCGGAGACGGCCTAGTGGTAAAAATTTCTGATTTTGGCCTTTCTCGGGACATATACTCTTCTGATTATTACAGAGTTCAGTCTAAATCTTTGTTGCCTGTCAGATGGATGCCTCCAGAATCCATTTTATATGGAAAGTTTACTTCAGAAAGTGATGTATGGTCATTTGGAGTGGTTTTGTGGGAAACCTTTAGCTTTGGGCTGCAGCCTTTCTATGGTTATAATAACCAGGAAGTAATTGACATGATTAGGTCAAGACAGCTCCTCTCATGTCCAGAAGACTGCCCTCCCCATATTTATGCAATGATGGTAGAGTGTTGGCATGAAAACCCTTTTCGTAGACCTTCTTTTAAAGAGCTACATGCCCGCTTATGCTCCTGGCAAGCCATGCACACACAGGCCTTGAGTGTAACGCATTCAGGAAAAAAGCATAATGATAATCATCATGGCTGCTCAGGAATGAATAGTAATACTGCTTCAACAAATCTGAGTAGCACTATAGCAAGACCCTTTGATCCCCCTCCAAACTTTCAGAGAGCTATTCCAAGCCAGAAGGTACCCTGTGGTTCTTCTTCAGAATGTTTTTCAGTTTTACAAACAACAGGATCAGATACACCAATTCTGAAGGCAGTAGATTCTGCAGTTCAGCATAATCCTCATAAAGCCACAGTAGCTCCTGAGAAAGTGACCAATGTGTAATGTAATTTCCATTATTTTGTCGATTACTGTACATTTTGCTGGTCACGATGCCAATTCTCAGTAAAAGAACAACAAATTAGGGTGTGTCTGCTCGATGGTACTATATATATTTAAATAATTGGTGCCTTACAAGTTTTCATTTATTTTATATATATACCATAGTACTTTTTAAATTCATTGAAAAGTGAAACATTAATATCAATGAAATGTTTAAGATTCAGAATTATCAGATTAAATTGTGCAAAATATATTTTGTCAGAAAAGCTCTAATTCACATACTTAGAGATGATTCATCCATCTAAATTTTTTTGCTAAACAAAAATATTTGAGAAAAGTGTGAAATTCATTTCTATTAAAGAAAGAAAAATTAAATATATCAAAAAATTAAGTGACTAGTATTTTAAAAATTGTTTAAAATAGTTTGAATGATCTTAAACATGTTCCTGGATTTCTGGAATATTACGTTTTAAGACAAGATTATATATTTCATGTTATTGTTGCATACTTAATTCATTAGGTTTAAATTGAAATTATATGTAAAAAAGTTTTCATCACCAGCTTTAATGTTAAAATTACATAGCTAGTTTGGGGTTTTCTCACTTTGGTTCACTGTAAATGAATGTTTTCTTTGTTTTCATCACCAGCTTTAATGTTAAAATTACACAGCTAGTTTGGGGTTTTCTCACTTTGGTTCACTGTACATGAATGTTTTTTTTGCATTAATATTGTATTGTCATGCTATCTGTAAGATCTGAGACAGTTATAAATGAGCTAAGAAAATGTAGTCATTTTATTAAGGTCTCTCTACTGCTACTTTTCTTGCAGAATCTCTAGTTTTAAATCTTATTTGACATATCACACTGGACTTGAAATAATAGAGAATGTCAGAATGTAGAATTTTAGTGGTTCCTGTTAATTTGGTAAGTAGTAAAATTATTTTTATTACTTTAGGTCTATTCACCACGTCTCCCAGAATATGTCTGAACTCTAACTTTTTTTATTTCTCTGTTAGAAAATGTAAAATAAAAATTAACATTTTATAATGTACATTAAATGATTTATAAGTTAATAAATATGTTTTTTCTTATAAAAACACCTTTTGTTGGTGATAACTTACTGCTAGTTGGCCTCCATATATTTGTTAGTTCTGTAGCTTATTATAAAATAGGAAAACTGTGAAATTGATACCAATATGTACACATAGTATCAAATAATAATTCTTTTTTATTTTAAAAAATACTAATTTTTAAACCTTGAATATAATATTAATGTAAATACAGTTGGAGTTAACATTTTGTTTTGTAATATTTTAGAAATCATTTTAAAAATTAATAGAATTAATAATTTTAGAAATATCCACAATATTCATTTATGAACATTATTACCTTTATAGTAAAAATATAACTAATTTTAAGGCTGTTTTGCAGTATTTTCTATAAAATTTCAGAAAATTCTTTTAGCTTTAGTGTGTGCCATTTCAAATTCAGAAAGTATATAGCCTTTTCTGTTTTACACATCAAAAACAAAAAGATCAATAAAACTGAAATTTGAAAGTTTAAATTTTTGTATATAATTGCTTAATACATTTGCTAAAGACTATATGTTTATTGTTCTTTCTTTACTGGATAGTTTACTTCAAGAAGTAAATATAAGTAGATATATTTGGCAAATTATGAGTAAAACCCACCACACTTCAGTTATGTTAGTATGTTCAAGAAGAATCAAGTTGCTAATTATACTGGCTGTTGTAGTGACTTTACTATTTCATTAAAATGAATTATGATAGCACTATAATAACTTCATCTATTGTGTTTGTAGCACAGCAACAGTGCTGGGATATATTTATTATAAACAGTTTTTAATTGTTCACAATAATGTATTTGTAATTTATCATCAGTACATTCTGATAAGATAACTTGCAGTTAGGGATAAAGTATTACATGTTATTTTTTGAAATCTGAGATTTTTGTTGACTAGTAAAGTTAGTTATGGGCAAGGTGGTTTTTAGTGTAGAAAGTCTCCCCTAGCATACACTTATGGAAATGTTTTATATAACCTGAAGGTACGTATTCTTCCATGACTAAGAACCAGAGATTAATCTAATTGTTTACCAAAAATGAATGTATTATCAATTTACATTTTTAGGTTGCGTTTTGTCTGTAATTTTATTTATAAACATAAGCTCATTTACATTAAATTTACATATCCCATCATTTATGTTGAAATAAAATTTAATAACTTGAGATAGCTAAAAGTGCATCATTTAGTTTCCAAAGAAAAAATAATTAGGCTTGTAAATAACACATTTTCTCAGTGAAGAAAACACTGGTATCCAGAGTAAATTTCTTGAATTTTCTGATGAAAATGTTTGAGAAAAATTCATTTAAAGGTTTCCTTGTGCAGTTATGTATGTATATCTAGAGAGAAACTGTAAAAAAAATGTTATCTGAATCAGTAGAACAAAGGGAAGAAGTGAATATTAATTGTAATGACCCAAAATAGGTGAAAAGTACTTAAATTTGAAACTAAAACTATTCAGTTTGCACAACCTTTGAGGTTAATACTGCTTACTGAGCTACTAGGTCTTCAATTCTTTAACAGATAGTTTTACACCTGGATCACTGTGAAAACATTTCCATTATATTACAACACAGAAATTCCACTTATGAATTAAACAGTGCATGTGTATGTACATATGCATGCACACACTGCATTGAGCAAATGACTTGTTTTAAAATTTCCCTTTTCATCTATGCAATTGTAAAAGTAGACCTGTGTTAAAACCATAAAAATATTTACTGTAGCAGAGGATTTATAAAAGAAAAATACGTTTAAGTCATTTTGTTAATGTAGTTACATTTTTTGGTAGAACAGAAACTTTTAAAAATATTATAAAATGGTGTCAATTAGTATAAATTAAGTGTTCAGGTTTTGGTAAAATATCTTTACTACTTAAGAATGATCTTGAGAAATTCTAAACATCAACAAAATTTTGGTATACTTTAAAAAGAAGAAAACAATAGTTTTTTGTGATCTAAATGTTCTAGGGACTTTTTTGAGGCAGTTATGAATAAAATTTAATTTGTCATTCTTATGAGCAACTTGATCCTCAGACTGTGACAAATTGCTTGAAGGTATATATATACATGGTGGAGAAAAACTGATTATACATATGTTTCATGAAGAACACAGTTTAATCTCTAACGTCATATCATGAAATAAATATTAATTCAGTTTATTTTAATTGTTTTTGTAGTAATTTTCTTTAGTACCAATGGTGCAATAATTTGTGCCCCACCCTATATGTAAATGAATCTTTACCCATTCAGACAAGTAAACTTCACTTGTCATGAATCTCGGAACAACTTTTACCTGTTGTGAATGTTTGAATTTGTGATCGTATGATTCTTCTCTTTTGACAGTTCATCTGCTTTAGGGTGGCATTTTTTTTTATACAATGATTTAGCATGTACTGATTTGTATTCCATTTTAAGAACTTAGGAGGGAAAGTAGAGAAGAATGTATAACATGTCAATATTATTATTTGTGAGCAGGTTATTGCTAAAACATCACAATTTTTTTAATTTACTAGTCAGACTATGTATGGCATGCCAAAGGATTTTGAGTGTTTTTAAACATTTGTTTTTTATATTTTATATGTCAATAAAATTTACACTTGATGATAGAAGTTTGAGTTCATAGTGATTAATTTACTTCATTATGCATGTATCAAAGCAGTGAATTCTGAATTATTGCTATTTTACGAGATATTACAATTAACTAAACTGGAAAAAAAGATTTAATTTGTAAGCCCATTGTAGGAGATGAAAGTTCAAGGTTCTGTAATTATAAAAGCTATTAAGCAATGATTTTAGTTATTTAGTATACATGTATACAATTTCTTCACTACAGATGTTTTCGATATGGTACATTACTTCCTCTCACATAGTTAGTTATTCTTGTTCAGTGCTGCTCTCTATATGCAAAAAACATTTATGCATCCCACAAGCCTTTTGCTTCCCCTCCATTGGAAATGACTCATTCCAATGTGTATCTCATGCGACAACCCTTCACCAATGAGAGTAACACACTCTAGTTCAGTTCTACTAAATTATCACTTCTCATTTGGCTAATGCTCATGTTTAGATGTATTGAATTTAACAGTTATACTTCAGAAGTGTTTTTTAAATTGGTTTTGATTATACAACTGACAAATTTACTTTCAGTTCCTTTTTTTTTCTACATTTGTATTTATCTTTCAAACTAATTGTTTGATTTATTATTTACCATAAGCACTTTTGCACTGGCTGCAGGTGGGGGCGACCTGTGATTATTTGCCAATATATCAATCATTATATGGGTCAACCACCATCTCCTTAAGTTGCCCCACTTTCTCACGAACAATCCAAAGCTAATTGTTCTGATGAAGATTTCAATAGCATTTTTCCACCACCGGATTTTGCCGTATCTTCCTATGCCCTACTGTGGAATCAGCTAGGCTAATATGACATTTTTAGATATTTCTCAGGTATGTGATGTTTTATCCATTTTCTTGATTTTCCATGATTCTCGTCCTCGTTTGCTGCATGATAGTCCTTGTCCTTATTTAGTTTTCCCATCCTCCCCGGATATTAGGGTAAAAGCTGAACATTTTGCTTCTCAATTGGTTGAGGGTGCCAGCATGCCTTGCCCCCTCCCCCATGGTCTATGGATCAGTTTGCTTTGGCATACCATCATGCAGATTGTCCATTTCTAGTCTCTCAGTTGTTGGGGTCTTTTGCTGGTTTGGGTGCAGTCCCTGATTTTCCTGTGCTTTTAACCCATGCCCAGTTTTCACGCCTTTGTCTTACCCTTACTTCCCTTCTATGGTATTTATCTACCATACATCTCCTTTCAGAGGTTATGCACCAAAATCCTAATCCTTCTCAGCCCTTAATCATTTCTTCTTTCAAAGGTTCCGTATCTCATCATTTTCTTTGGCGTAGATCGGCATGATGCCAACAGTAACAGTGACTATCCAGTGAGTTTTTTGGGTTATTTGGGTTCTCTCCTTTCCCCTCCTTCTCTGTCACAGATACCAATTTCCTTCCCTCTGCTTCAGGATCCCATTACTAGCCAGTGTATGTCAGAGGTGGTTCAAGACCTTCTGTCTCATTGAACCTGTGAATCATCTTTCTCCCAGTTTTTATTCCAGGCTGTTTGTTGTATCCAGTAAAACTGGAAACTGATGGCCTGTTATAGATTTGTTCTGCCTCAATCAATTTCACAATCTCTGTTTTACCATTTCTCACCCTCAGGTGGGCTTTTTCTCCAGGTTTATGGACGACCAAGATGGACATTGAGAATGCTTACTTACGTATACCGATAGCTTGGCAGTCATGACCATATCTTTGGTTTGTCCATCAAGGGGTGATTTATCAGTTTTGCACACTACCCTTTGGGCTTGCTTGTCATCCTCATACTCTCAGGATGCGTTTTCATTATTGATGACTGGCTACTGTTAGCTCATTCCAAACAGGAG